CCGAAGTCATCCAATAGGTAAGTGTTGGATTCAGGATTTGAACTAGAGCCATCTGGCTCCTCAGCCCACACTTAATCACCATGCTTTCTTTATGCCTTTTCACAATTCAACTATTTTAAGTGTGCTTTTAAATTCTGCCCGCTCACCCGCAGCATCAGCTTTAATATTTTGCAGCAAGTTGTGTCATGGTCATCATCTGGCCTTCTTCCAGAGTTTACAATATTTAACTTCCATTCTAAAGTGACTGCTTCTGGGGAATGTTTTCCAGCAATGGCACTGACAGATATCCTGTACTTCAGAATGGTGGTGGGTCACAAAAAAATTAACAAAATATAGCTAGTGTTTATTTTTTATTTTTTATTTTTATTTTTTTTTAAAGATGGGTTTTCACCATGATGGCTAGGCTGGTCTTGAACTCCTAACCTCAGATGATCCACCCACCTCAGCCTCCCAAAGTGCTAGGATTACAGGCGTGAGCCACCGCGCCTACCTCGTGTTTATTTTTAAAGCTGTATGTGCTATCGCAATAGGAAGTTACATGTTTTCTAATAAAGAGGGGTTTGAATTATTTCAAATTTTGCACATAAAGCAAGAAACCTTGACTTAAATTTCTCAACATGTGAAATACCCAGAATTGCATTTCAATAAAATGTCACTGCAGTGCAAGAGGTAGACTTCCAGGAGAGGGCAGCACTTGAGATGGATCTCTGACGTATGAGCAAAAGTGAGGGAACAGGACTCCAAAGAGAGAACTTGAAAAAACTCAGAAAAGATGAACAGACAACTAGATGACTAGAACAGATGGGAGTAAATAGTGAAGAGACTTAAATGTCAGTAATGAGGAAGCACCTCTTGATGGATGTTTCCTATCAAGAGACTAAGCTGAGAGTGAGATGAAATGAAATGGGGAGAGAACAGCTGGCTGCTTACGAGAAAGTTAAGTGGCTGAATTAAACCACGTAAGTCTTTAACATATGCTGTCACTATGCTCCTGCCTCATTTTCTATATTGGTTATCAGTGGTTTTTCAAGGCCAGAAATATGACAAGTTATTACTCTATTTATCTAAAGGTTTTTCACCCATCCTGATTAAATTTCACTGGATTCAGTCCATCAATCTCAGCCTACTAAGATTATTTTTAGATATTGATTCTGCCACAAGATTTAACTCTGCTTTCTAGTTTCATTTCATCTTCATTTTTAGAAAATGCCTTTTGCTGTTTTGTCATGAAAGTAACATAACATTGTTAAATATATATGTAAAAACAAAAATTTAGTAACCCATAATACCACCACCCAGAAACAGACCTCTATTAACAGGCTTGAGGGTTTTTTTAATGCCTAAACCGAACATTTTAATAGACTCATGCTATATATCTTTTCATTTATTGTAAAGTTTTCTTCAATGTCAGTATTCTTATGGCTGCCCAACTTTGTGTGAATATAATTTATTACCCAATTCTTTATTTATAGACATAATGGCTTCTAAATTTGCACTATTATATATAATATTAAGATGAGCACCCCATAACACTAAAATGAGCACTCCTATATCTAACTTTTCCCATGTATCCATGACAATTTTCTTAGAAAAATGTCCTATAAATGGAATTGCTGGGTGCATAATTTTTAAGGCTTTACATAGTGTCAAATTCTGCTCCAGGACATTTGTTCCAATGGACATTCCTATTATTGGTGTTAGAGAATGACAGACTGAGGAACGGTAACAATTATTAGATATTATAATTTTAATATAATTTGAGGATCAGCTTAATAGAAGAAATACAACAGTTGGTTTATTCAATTTACATTCTTTTCATCACTGTTGCACTTCAATAAAATTTTTCAGATATTCCTTTAATGATCTAATATTAAAACCTAGTTACTACGGTTATCCATACAGACCAATGGAATCTAAAAGATAAACCAAGAAATAAATCCTTGCATATGCGATCAAATGAAAATGATTTTCACCTAGGGTGCCAAGACCATTCAATGGAAAAAAGACAGCCTTTTCTTTCTTTTTTTTTTTGAGATGGAGTCTCGCTCTGTTGCCCAGGCTGGAGTGCAGTGGTGCCACCTCAGCTCCCTGCAACCTCACCTCACTGTAACCTCCACCTCCCAGGTTCAAGAGTTTCTCCTGCCTCACTCTCCCAAGTAGCTAGGACTACAAGCACAAGTCACCACACCCAGCTAATTTTTGTATTTTTAGTAGAGATGGGGTTTCACCATATTGGCCAGGTTGGTCTCAAACTGGTCAGAAGACTTAAAAAGACTTTTTCCAAGGAAGATGTACAAATGGACAACAAGCACATGAAAAGATGTGAAACACCACTAATTAGGGAAATGTAAATCAAAACCACAATGAGATATGCCTTCATACCCATTAGAATGATTATTATCTAAAATAAAAGAGGTCAGGCACAGTGGCTAACACCTGTAATCCCAGCACTTTGGAAGCCAAGATGGGTGAATCACTTGCGGTCAGAAGTTTGAGACCAGCCTGGCCAACATGGTGAAATCCCATCTCTACTGAAAAAAATACAAAAATTAGCTGGGCATGGTGGTGCATGCCTGTAGTTCCAGCTACTGGGCAGGCTGAGGAAGGAAAATCACTTGAACCCAGGAGGCAGAGGTTGCAATGAGCCAAGATCACGCCACTACACTTCAGCCTGGGTGACAGAGCAATACCCGGTCTCAAAAAAAAAAAAAAAACGGAAAAGAACAAGCATCAGCAATGGTGTGGAGAAACAGAACCCCTTTGCATTGCTGGTAGATATGTAAAACAGTGCCGTGGTTTGGAAAACGGTATGGTGTTTCCTCCAAAACTTAAACAGAAATACCATACAATCCAACAATTTCATTTCTTGGTATATATCCCAAAGAAATGACAGCAGGATCTTGAACAGATTATTTGTACACCCGTGTTCATAGCAGCATTATTTACAATAGTCAAAAGGTGAAAGAAACCCAAGTGTCCATGAACAGATGAATGAACAAAAGTAGTATATCCATAAAACGGAATATTATTCAGTCTTAAAGGGGAAGAAAACTCTGACACATGATACAACATGAATGTATCTTGAGGATACTATGTTAAGTGAAAAATGGCAGTCACAACAAGACAAATACTGTACAAATTCACTTATATGGGGTACCTAGGAATAGTCAAATTCATAGAGACAGACAGTAGAATGACAGTTGCCACAAGGTAATGAAAAAAGGGAATGGGCAGTTAGTATTTAATGGGTACATAGTTTCACTTTGGGAAGATGACGTTCTAGAGATGGATGGATGAATGGAGTTGATGGCTGCACAACAATGTGAATGTACTTTATGCCACTAAATTGTAGACTCTGAAATGGTTAAGATTAAAAATTCTTTTATTATACTTTACCACAATAAAAGTACCAAAAAGAAAAAAAAAAGAGTAGAGTTAACTTTAAGTCTTGAGGTTTTAGATTAGAAATTTTAAAGAAACTGAAGTGGATGAGCATGCAAAAGGAAGATGCAGGGAGAGGGGAGGATAAATTCAAACTATCCTCCATTTCTGCACTAGCAAGCCATTATTACTAAAAGGACTGATCTACAATACTTCTTAAGTCTGGAGATTTTAAAGTGCAAGCTTTAACATGCTGGGTAAAAGTATTACAATTCTGAGGTAGTTAAGTAACACAAGGGAAATAACAGGCATCCTGACTATAGTTTCAAATCTCTGCCCCATCAATTAATTACCAGATAACCACTCTGGGTCTCATTTTCTGAAATCAGTCAACTGAAATTGACTATCCATTTTGTACTGGTATCCTACAAAATAGCTCTTTTAAATATGGTGGTAAAGGCTGGGTGCAGTGGCTCACACCTGTAATCCTACCACTTTGGGAGGCTGAGGGGAGTAGATCACCCAAGGTCAGAAGTTCGAGATCACCCTGGCCAGCATGGTGGAACCCTGTCTCTATTAAATTTCCAAAAATTAGCCAGCATGGTGGCACAGGCCTATAGTCCCAGCTACTCAGAAAGCTGAGGAAAGGGAATCGCTTGAACCCAGGATGTGGAGGCTGCAGTGAGCTGAGATCAAGCCAATTCACTCCAGCCTGGGTGGCAGACCGGGACTCCATCTCAAAAAAAGAAAAATGGTGGTTAAGCTGGATGCCAGTGACTCATGCCTGTAATCCCAGCACTTTGGGAGGCCAAAGCGGGAGGACTGCTTGAGCTCAGGAGTTTGAGACCAGCCTGGGCAATATATCAAGACCTTATCTCTGGAAAAAAAAAACAAAAAACAAAAAAAAAACCATAGCAAGATCCCATCTCTACAAATAATAATAATAATAATAATAATAAAACAAAGACAGTTGGGGGTTCAAACTATTTTTTCAAAATGGTGGTAAAGCACACATAAAATTTGCCATCTGAACCATTTTTAAGTATACATTTCTGTGGTATTAAGTATTCAAACTGTTGTGCTACCACTTGAATATCTACCCACTGAACTTCTGTCATCTTATGAAGCTGAAACTCTGAACTCATTAAAAAATAACTCCCCATTCTCCGCTCTCCAGCCCTTGGCAACCACTATTCTATTTCGTGTCTCTATGTGCAATATAGCTTTCATAGTATTATATTTTGTTTGAAAACGCAACATAAGAGCGTGGTGTTGGCATAAGAGTAAACAAATAGATCAATGAAACAGAACAAAATCCAAAATGAGACTCACACATGTATGGCTAATTTTCAACAAGGTGCAAAGGCAATTCAGTGGAGAAAGGATAGCTTTTTTCAACAAATGGTGCTGCAATTTTTTTTAAATATCACTCATATATATGGCTATAGATATACCTATATAATACTATTATATATCTATAGCTAAATACATATGAGTGTTTTCATTTTTTTGTGAGCCAAAGATCTTTTTGTAAATTTTCTTTCTGAGCCAAAGATTTATCTGTTCATTTCTTGCATTTGAAGTACTCTTCAATTATCTCCTTGACCTGAGACTCCCTGAAAAATACAGAATGCTTCAAGAATTTGCATGTCATCCTTACACAGGGGCCATCCTAATCTTCTCTGTATTGTTCCAATTTTAGTGTATGTGCTGCTGAAGCAAGCACGAGTGATTTTTTTTAAAAAGTTCTTTAGATATACCTATATCTGTATCTAAAAAACTTTCCATCCATCCTTCATACCATATATGCAAATTAACTCCAAATGAATCACAGACCTAAATGTAAAACCTAAAACTATACAATCTCCAGAAGAAAACATAGCAGAACAACTTTCTGGTATTGGATTAGACAGATTTTTTTTTTTAAATATAACAGGAAAAGCACAATCTACAAAAGAAAAAGTTAATAAACTGAACTTTATTAAGAATTTATATGCTGGCCGGGCGCGGTGGCTCATGCCTATAATCCCAGCACTTTGGGAGGCCAAGGCGGGTGGATCACGAGGTCAAGAGATCGAGACTATCCTGGTCAACATGGTGAAACCCTGTCTCTACTGAAAATACAAAAATTAGCTGGGCATGGTGGCACACGCCTGTAGTCCCAGCTACTCGGGACGCTGAGGCAGGAGAATTGCTTGAACCCAGGAGACGGAGGTTGCGGTGAGCCGAGATCGCGCAATTGCACTCCAGTCTGGGTAACAAGAATGAAGTTCTGTCTCAAAAAAAAAAAAAAAAGAATTTATATGCTTAGAAATACACTCTTAAGGCTGGGTGCAGTGGCTCATGCCTATAATTCCAGTAGTTTGGGAGGCCGAAGCAGGCAGATCACTTGAGTTTAGAAGTTCAAGACCAGCCTGGCCAACATGGTGAAATCCCATCTCACCTAAAAATACAAAAAATAGCTGTGTGTGGTGGTGGGTGCCTGTTCCCAGCTATTCAGGAGTCTGAGGCAGAACAACTGGGAGGCAGAGGTTGCAGTAAGCCAAGATCACGCTACTGCACTTCAGCCTAGGCTACAAAATGAGACTTCGTCTCAAAATAAATAAATAAATAAATTTTCAAAAATAAATAAAAAAGAAAGAAATACACTATTAAGAGAATAATGAAGAGAAGGCACAACCTAGGGAGAAAATCTTTGCAAAGCATGTATCAGAAACACAAACACAACACTATGTCTCAAAGCTCAACAATAAGAAAACAATTATTTTTTAATAGCAAACATTTGGACACTTCATCAAAGATATAAGGATGCCAAACAAGCATATGAAAAGATGTGTGACGAAAGTCATTAGGGTCAGGCTCAGTGGCTCACACCTGTAACCCCAGTATTTTGGGAGGCCAAGGCAGGATTGTTTGAGACCAGCAGTTCAAGACCAACCTGGACAACACGACGAAATCCCATCTTTACAACAAATACAAAAATATTAGCCAGGTGTGGTGATGCATCCCTATGGTCCCAGCAATTCAGGAGGCTGTGGTGGGAGAATCACCTAAGCCTGGGAGGCACAGGCTGCAGTGAGCCAAGATCACACCACTGCAGCCTGGGTGACAGAGTGAGATCCTGTCTCAAAATTTTAAGTCATTAGGGAAATGCAAATTAGAATCATAATGACCTAACAGTGATTTTAGAGTGGCTAAAATGAAAAAAATTACTGGCCACACCAAGTGTTGGTAAGCAGGTAGAAAACTAGAACTCTCATACACTGTTGATGTGAATGTAAAATAATACAACTACTCTAGAAAACCTGTCAGGTGACCCAGTCATTCCACCGAGGTATTTATCCAAAAGAAAAGAAAAAGCATTTGTCCACACAAAGACTTACACACAAAATGTCCATAGCAGCTTGATTTGTAGTAGCCAAAAACTAGAAACAATCCAAATGTCTATCAATAGGTAAATAAACAAATCATGATATATCCATACAATAAATACTCATCAATAAGAGACTATATGATTATAGCATTTATATAAAATTATTAAAAATGCAATCTATAGAGACAGCAGATCAGTAGTTGAGTGGGGATGGAAGGGTATGTATACAAGAGGGTAAGAAAGGTAATACAAAGCAGTACGAAGAAACTTCTAGGGATGATGGATATCATCATAATCTTGATGGTTTCATGGATATTAAGATATGCCAAAGCTCATCAAATTGTACATTTTTCTTTTTTTGAGACGGGGTCTTGTTCTGTTGCCCAAGATGGAGTGCAGTGTTGCAATCTTGGCTCACTCCAACCTTGGCTTCCCAGGTTCAAGAAATCCTCCTGCCTCAGCCTCCCGAGTAGAATGAGAATTTTCTTTTTGAGTCGAAGTCTCACTCTGTTGCCCAGGCTTGAGTGCAACAGCACAGTCTTAGCTCACTGCAACATCCACCTCCCAGGTTCAAGCAATTCTCCTGCCTCAGCCTCCAGAGTAGCTGGGATTACAGGCACCCATCACCATGCCCAGCTGATTTTTATATTTTTAGTAGAGACAGGGTTTCACCATATTGGCCAGGCTGGTCTCTTGGCCAGGCTTGTCTTGAATTCCTGACCTCGTGATCCGCCTGCCTCGGCCTCCCAAAGTGATAGGATTACAGGCGTGAGCCACCATGCCCAGCCAGAATGAGAATTTTAAGTGAAATCTTCTAAATTCAAATCTACATATATGTTCTCCATTTCACATGACAATAAAAGACAAGATTGATCCAGATGTGATGTTTAATCCACATTTACTGTTAGGACTTTATGGGATCATCTGTTCTAGATTTAACTTTTTTTCCCCCCAGGACAGAGTCTTGGTTCTCCTGCTCAGTCTGGAATGCAGTGGCACAAACAAAGCTCACTGTAACCTCAAACTCTTCAGTTCAAGGGATTTCCTGCCTCAGCCTCCCAAATAGCTAGGACTCCAGGTTCCCACCACAATGCCCAACTAACTTTTAAAAAGTTTATGTAGAGACAAGGTCTCAATACGTTACCCAGTCTTGGTCCTGAACTCCTGGCTTCAAGAGCTCTTCTCACCTTGGCTTCCCAAAGCACCAGGATAACAGGTGTGAGCCACTGTGTTTCGCCCCTTGATTTAACATTTTCATCAACAAAGTCCTTTAAAGGCTGAAATTGGGCTGGGCGCAGTGGCTCATGCCTATAATCCCAGCACTTGAGAGGCCAAGGCGGGTAGATCATGAGGTCAGGAGTTCAAGACCAGCCTGACCAACATAGTGAAACCCCATCTCTATTTAAAAAAAAAAAAAAAAAAAAAATGAAACCAAGATTTCACTACAAAGGAAAAAGCCAAATAAAGACAGCAAGCATAACTAATACAAATACTTTCAGTTCTAATTAGTAGTTTTCACTGGGATGGGCATTTATCTTAGGGGGCAAATGATAGTCCATCAGGTAGCAGGAATATAATATTAATACTTATATTCAAATGAGTTTTTAAAAATCTCACCCCTTTTATGTATTTCTATGTCTGTTTTATACAATATATAGGTATGGTACAAATAAAACATATTTGTAAAAAGATATTAATTTATTTTGATAAGAATATATGAGACGAATGTTTGGAGATGACTTAGAAAATAAATCTCTAGCAGCGGAGCTCAGTGGCTCACGCCTGTAAGCCCAGCACTTTGGGAGGCCGAGGCAGGCAGATCACCTGAGGTCAGGAGTTCAAGACCAGCCTGGCCAACATGGCAAAACCCTGTCTCTACTAAAGTACAAAAATTAGCCAGGCACGGTGGCAAGCGCCTGTAATCCCAGCTATTCAGGAGAGTGAGGCAGGAGAATCACTTGAACCCGGGAGGTGGAGGTTGCAGTAAGCCGAGATCACGCCTCTGCACTCCCGCCTGGGTGACAAAAATATATATATATATCTTTAGTAAACATTTTTCAATAGAATTATATAATTTTGGAGCAGAATCAAATCTTAAAGAGCATCTCATTTAGACAGCAATATAAGGCCCCTTGCAAATAAGATGACATGCCCCATGTCTCAGAAACACACACACACACACACACACACACACACACACACACACCCCCAAACAAAAAGCTCACAATCATATTTTAGGCTAAAACTAATTAAAACTCAGTGGCAGGCAGAAAGACAAGGCAACCACCTCTTCACCTTGCTTTACTATAGTGTGGGAAAAAAAAAAAAAAAAAAAAAAAAAAAAAGCATGTCACTCTTGAGCTGATAAAGGCTTTAGAATATGGCAAAATGTTTCAGACCTGGTAAGTTTAGCAAATGCTGCACAATACCTAATGTCTCTCTTGAAAATTCATAATATTTTTTTCTTTTTTTGAGAGAGTCTCACTCTGTCGTCCAGGCTGGAGTGCAATGGTGTGATCTTGGCTCACCACAACATCCGCCTCCTGGGTTCAAGCAATTCTCCCACTTCAGCCTCCTGAGTAGCTGGAATTACAGGCATGTGCCACCATGCCTGGCTAATTTTTGTATTTTTAACAGAGATGGAGGCCAGGCACAGTGGCTCAAGCCTGTAATCCCAACACTTTGGGAGGCCGAAGCGGGTGGATCACGAGGTCAAGAGATCGAGACCATCCTGGTCAACATGGTGAAACCCCGTCTCTACTAAAAATACAAAAAATTAGTTGGGCATGGTGGCACGTGCCTGTAATCCCAGCTACTCAGGAGGCTGAGGTAGGAGAATTGCCTGAACCCAGGAGGCGGAGGTTGCGGTGAGCCGAGATTGCGCCATTGCACTCCAGCCTGGGTAACAAGAGCGAAACTCCATCTCAAAAAAAAAAAAACCCCCCAGAGATGGGGTTTCTCCATATTAATCAGGCTGGTCTCAAACTTCCAACCTCAGATGATCCGCCCACGTTGGCCTTCCAAAGTGCTGAGATTACAGGCGTGAGCCACCGTGCACGGCCAAAACATATTATTTATATAAAATTTAATGCATTTTATGTGAAATATTTTATTATATAATAAAAATGAAGTTCTCTTAAGCGATCAAGATACAAAGAACAATAAGGTGTGGTCCCTGCTGGGAAACAGGATAAACTGGTTGACAAAAAATGTCTCCTTCCTTCTTGGCCGGGCGCAGTAGCTCACACCTGTAATCCCAGCACTTTGGGAGGCCAAGGTAGGCAGATCACTTGAGGCCAGAAGTTCGAGACCAGCCTGGCCAATATGCCAAAACCCTGTCTCTACTAAAAATA